ATTGGATAAGGGAGTACCTAAGTAACAGAAGACAGCGAGTCACTGTGAGGGGTGAGGTCTCAGACTGGCGAGATGTCACCTGTGGAGTCCCGCAGGGTTCAGTCCTTGGACCCATACTGTTTCTGATATATGTAAATGATCTAACAGAGGGTATAGAATCCTTCCTCTCATTGTTTGCTGATGATGCAAAAATTATGAGGAGTATTGAGAAGAGGAAGATAATATGAGGCTACAAGATGACCTAGACAGACTGAATGAACATACACACACACACACACACACACAAACACACACACACACACACATACACATACACATACACATACACATACACACACACATACGGGGAAGCTGATGAGATTATTGAAAATTTGGGATGACGGAGGAGTGCTGTTTAATCTCCATGAGAAAAATAGTATACGGCAGAAGGGAGCTGTTTTAATCTCCAGTTGGAAAAAGTATATGACATAAGGGAACGGTCAATAAGTGACTGAAAATATTAGGAGACTACGGAGGGCAGTCAAAGTTACTCACAGGACGTTTGGGTATTTTACAGTTTACTTAATTTCATAAAGGTGTTATATATAAATGAGTGTGGGCAGATATAAATAGGAGATGCTGTATCGTCCCAAGAGATCTTCTGCAGTTTCATTCTTATGTTTAATATACAATCTTTTAACTGACTGTTTGATCGAAATAATCATCTATCTTTTAACTGAGTGTTTGGAAGAAATGATAAATTCTGCAAATGGGATTAAATAATATATCATTGAAAATGGGATTTTATTAATGTGATCATTGAAAACGATATTATAGAGGGAGGATGCAGACGGGCTGGTTGATGAGGTCATTGAACATTAGTGATGACAAGAACCGCGCATCACCGAGATAACTAAATCTAGGGAGGACTGCGGCCTACAGCTCCCAAGGTTGATGAAAACAAATGCGGATTACGACCTGCAGTCAAAAAATAAATTCAATTGCGGGTTGTTGTCCTGGTTTATTCTACTGGAGGAGAAAGCATGGGGCAAAATAAATCATGAGACAATGAAACAGTGATGAAAGATTTGATGTCGAGGAACTGCAGAAGAACAGGACAGTTGTAATACAAGGACTAATGAAGGAACATGTACCTTTGAAACACGAGGAAGACAGTTTGAATGCAGGATCTTGAAGAGATTTTGAAATGTTTGAATGCTGATTGCAGGATAAATGAGTTTGTGGTATCACACCGAATTTGACCATACTTTGAGAGTAATATAATTAGAGCTGTTTTGGTTGAGTTTACTAGTGTAAATTCAGTTGAATACATATTAGAACACAAACATTTACTCAGAGATTTGGTAATTACTATAATGTTTTATAGAGAGATTCATAGCTAAGCAGAAACATAAAATATGGAGAATTATTAACAGCAAAGACAGGCCACCCAGGCAGTGACTGAGAGTATCAAGACCTCACTATCACATCCTCCTCCCATCACACCCCTCATCCACGCCCTAGGAGTGGGAGCCAGGGCGTGGGTAGTAGGCAGGGTGCGAGTGGTAGGGAAGTTGTTGGTGGGAGGCAGGGAGTGGGTAGGAAGCAGCCCCAGGGCTTTTATTTTTACAATGGGCCGAGGTTGGAACCGCACGTCGGGAAACAGCAACACACACAGTCGTAGGTCTATGCCTCACTACCAGACAGTGCCAATGGAAGCTGTCATCTGCCCTTTTTGAATATTTTGTTGAAAATTAAATCTTCACCTTCCAAGAAGCTGAAATCATAAGAAAATGAAACATCGTTTTGCTAGAAACTCTTTTTCCCAGCCGCGACATCCTTCAGAATAACTAGGTATCAGCGATATAGAAGATTGTATGGGCAAGGAAGACTGTAGTGTTCATGGTTTTTCTCAGAGGAGCTAATCTCTTCCACTTTCATGTGGTAACCCTGTGGTCAGGCGTCATTCTTCCCTAACGGATATCGCTAGAGTGCGTAGAACGTTTGGTTGTAAATCAAATTTACATTGATATAAAGCTCTGGGGCACTTTTAACTTTAAGGTGTGTCATGAAATAACTCAAGTGAATAAGGGACCTGTATAAGTTAATTGGGAGAGTAGTAGTGGGAAAAAGGGTTTAATTGAAAGAGTATATAACTTAACACTAATATGTTAAGATAAATTATGTCTAATACCGACGAGTTCGTTACGTTAACAGAGTTTCACCATCGAAACTAAGCAACAGGGAACTTGCCGCCCGCTCTCGCAAACCACTCACTGATCTGACTGAAACACTCGTGAAAGCTCTCATTACCCCCAGCAAAACAAGGATAATCAACTGGTGTGTCCCTGTACACTGAAACACTAATGTCAGACGATACACATGTATGCACAGCGACAATACTCTTATCTTAGTACAGTAATATATATAAATTGCACATTACAATAATATATCACTTCCCGGAAAAGAAAACACATAAAATGTCACAACCATCAATATTATGCAAATGGTCTACTGACCTGTACTACTATGTAGAAATACACCTGTAAACACAATACACAGTGCAAACAATTCCACAGACTCCGTTCAGTGTGAACCAACGCTCAACAACTGAACACTGTGGTACAATCGACCACAAATGTGTTGAGCTAATGACCCAACACAACTCCGCTGACAAGGCGTTACCACGCAAATCAACGACGTCCAGTAGGTCGTCCTCCTGCACGTCGCACTTCGGTCGTCTGACTTCATACCAACACTAACCAGATAGACCCATACCATAGTATCAAGCAGCGATAACATAGACAAATGATAGAATACCCACATGTATGGACAACCTTCGGTTTCCCCCAGTGACATTCACATAAGTTCTTTCACACTTCATTACTTAACAATGACGGCTCTCTCAGAACATATCAACTTCATCTCTTCCTCTCTTCCTTGATGAGTGGGGATTTTCTGTCGTGGCAATTTAATATCTAGTGATTCATTTATCTAGGACTGTGGGTGTTGTTGTTGCCAACTCGTTGGAATCTGTCGTTGGGTAGTTTTTTGGGGTTTAAACTGTTAGTAGATAGTGGTACGGGAATGGACATAGGGAAAGGAGGCATTAAAAGTATGAGTTGGTGGGGGAAAAAATTGGTAAAAGGAACAGGGAAGAAGGGTCTCAAAATAAAAATACACTTAGGGTATATTATACAAACAGTAGGAGTCTAAGAAACAAAATATACGATTTAAATGCTTTTGTCTGCACAGAAACAATAGACATTATTGCACCTACCGAATCATGGATTAATATAGAAAACTGAGAACTATTTCCTGAATATAAAAAAAAACGGATTTAAATCATTTCACACAGATTGCTATATTTGACGAGGAGGGGGAGTAGCCATATATGTTAGGGAAAATTTGAAATGTTGTCTCAAAGAGGAATCAAAATTGAGCCAAACACAGAACTGTTAAGTTATAATTTAACAAAAAACCTGAAAAACTTATAATATGAATTATTTATAGGCCTCCAAACTTAGACAGAACAGAAGCAAAACATCTATGGGATGAAATATCTAGAGCATCTAGGTCTAACAGTATCTGCAAAGGATACTTTGCAGTATCATCATCTATCAGATTTTGTATCATCTCCAAAAGATGATACTTCGTGTCATCCTTTGCAGATGATACAAAAATCAGCATGGAAATTACCTCTGCTGAAGACATTGATAAACTACAAACAGATATTAACAAAGTTTTCGATTGGGCAGCAGAAAATAACATGATGTTTAATGGTGATAAATTCCAGGTACTCAGATACGGCAAAAATGAGGATCTTAAACATAATACAGGGTACAAAACACAATCGAATCTGCCCATAGTAGGAAAACAGCATGTCAAGGATTTGGGAATAATGATGTCCGACGACCTAACGTTTAGGGAGCATAACCAAGCAAGTATTGCGTCAGCCAGAAAAAATAATAGGATGGATTACGAGAACCTTCAAGTCCAGAGATCCCATCACAATGGTTGTACTCTTCAAATCACTTGTGTTGTCCCGTCTTGAGTACTGCTCAGTACTCACTTCCCCCTTCAGAGCAGGAGAGATTGCTGAAATAGAGGGAAGACAGAGAACATATACGGCGCACACAGACGAGATAAAGCACCTAAATTATTGGGATCGTCTCAAAGCTCTCCAAATGTACTCACTAGAAAGGAGACGAGAGAGATGCCAAATAATATACACATGGAAAATACTGGAGGGACAGGTCCCAAATCTGCACAGTAAAATAACAACGCACTGGAGTGAACGACATGGAAGAAAATGCAGAATAGAACCAGTGAAGAGCAGAGGTGCCATGGGCACAATCTGAAAACACTGTATGAACATCAGAGGCCCACGGTTGTTCAACGTCCTACCAGCGAGCATCAGAAATATTACCGGAACAACCGTGGACATCTTCAAGAGGAAACTAGATTGTTTCCTTCAAGAAGTGCCGGACCAACCGGGCTGTGGTGGGTATGTGGGCCTGCGGGCCGCTCCAAGCAACAGCCTGGCGGACCAAACTCTCACAAGTCTGGCCTCGGGCCGGGCTTGGGGAGTAGAAGAACTCCCAGAACCTCATCAACCAGGTATCAATCAGGCATCAACCAGTATTTGTGTCATGAGTAACTTTAATTTTAGTGGGATAAACTAGCTTAACAGAAGAGGGAATAAAGAAGCAGAAGATTTTCTAGAATTAACTGACTATTGCTTCCTTGCAGCTTACCATGAGATACGGGAGAGAGAGAGAGGGGGGGGAGAGGGAGGGAGGGAGAGAGAGAGGGGGAGAGAGAGAGAGAGGGGGGGAGAGAGAGAGGGGGGGAGAGAGAGAGAGAGGGGGGGGGGGGAGAGAGAGAGAGAGAGGGGGGTGGAGAGAGAGAGAGAGAGAGAGAGGGGGGGGGAATGTAAATGGGAATAGTCTTAAGACTACATACATGCCTATACAGTGAGCAGTATCATATACTATATTTCTTCCTGATCATTGTCACAGGATCCAAATGGAAGGTGAAGGATCTCACCTACAGGATAACCAAGTATCCTTCCATGCTGTCTAAGGCAGATGTCGACAAGGAAGTCTCCATAGCCTTACAAGTAAGGTGTTATGTTACAGCTAATCCTTTATTACAATAATATAAATTATTGTAATAAAGTTGTAAATTAACTTACAGAAATTAAATTAATGAAGTTCTAATATTGTAAATTTTGGTAATTATTGTGACCTCGATAAAAGCCTAACGTGTATGAACACTCTGGCTTCCTGTCCCCCGACACAATGAACAGTATGTACTGCGGTTATCAAAACAGTTCCTCAAACATAGGTGATCTCTCCCCCACATGCTGTGCAATGTCTGTCAAAATAATGCCACAAACTATAAAGTCACTTAATCTTGACAACACGACCTGACTTTTCCCCACCTCCAGGCGTGGGGAGACGTGTCAGGGCTGACCTTCCAGAAGAAGAATTCTGGGAAGGTAAACATTGAGATTCGCTTCGTGAGGCTTGATCATGGGGACGGGGACCCATTTGACGGTCCAGGGGGCGTGCTGGCTCACGCCTTCTTCCCCATGTATGGCGGAGACGCCCACTTCGACAGCGATGAGTCCTTCACCGTCAACTCGTACAGCGGTTAGTAGGAAATGTTGTCCTCAGGAGACAAAACATTAATAAGAGTTACGATTAGTGTAAGTGCAAAGGAATTCAACAAATCTTCTTGATCCAAAGTAGCCTCAGTTCATGGTAACTCAGTATCATGGCTTATGTCGTCACGAGATTTTAATATTGTGTTTTAATGTTGTTTAAATATTTATTTTATCAAATTTTAGTATTCATGTGGGTAGTTTTATAAATGTTTTGGGGGTCTTCATACTTTTACTTCAATGTTACTAAATGTTTAGAAACAATAATTCACACTGGAACGTTAACTATCAGCAGCAGAGTATTCAATCATCACATCAGGACTATGTGCATCTTTATCGTCAATTCCTTGATGACGATAAGCCCATATGCCCTTTTGATATGGGCTTCTGGGGACAGGTTAGGTATGATATCAAACCTCGGATCTTTCTTTCTATTCGACTCTTGCAGGATTTCATCCGCAGATAGTACCTTATGTTCAGCGTTCTGCTCCCTTCACCTAATTTAATTACTTTACACTTTCCTGAGTTAAACTTTAGTAGCTGCTTTCTAGATCATTCTTCCAGTTTGTCCAGGTCATCCTGTAGTCTCTGGCAATCTTCATCTATCTTGGGTCTTCTAATAATTTTTGCACCATCAGCAAATATTGAGATGAATGAGTATATCCTCTGGAAGATTGTTTACATATATCAGAAATAAGATGGGTCCAAGTACAGAGCTCTGTTGGACTCCGCTTGTGACATCTCGCCACTCTGACGCCTCCTCCCTCATAGTTACTCACTGTTTCCTGTTGCTTAGATACTCCCTATCCACTGGAGCACCTTTCCTTTTATTCTTTCTCTTTCTCGAACTTTTGTAACAGCCTCCGATGGGTTACTGAGTCAAGGCTTTCTGACAGTCTAAGAAAATGCAATCTGCCCACCGATTATGTCATGCTCCCAAGCAAGGCTCGTGGAGTAGAACTTTCTCTTATAAATCAATGAACCTCCTGGCCTCAAATATGTAAGATCAAAATGTCTAGGGTTGACTGAAAGTCTAAGTAAAATCCACCAGTTTACTGGAGCGAAGTTACCAACATGACAGCTTATTTACAAAATATATATATACTGTGACGGTGGTTCCCCCCCCCCCCCTTATATTTCTCCCACGCCAGCTGTAAGAGTCATATCTACTGTACCCGAACGTTCTCTGCCTTCCAGAGAACATTTTGACATATGTGGGAGCATGTGGTGTTCTCGCATAGGACAGAAATTAACTAAAGAAGAGTGTTTTGGCCAGTGGCTTAGGCCCTTTTGGACGCCAAGATGGTGCCGACTCCTACGTTTCCGCGCCAAAATGTTATGACGTCAGTAGCACCAGATTGGCCAAGAACGGTGACGTGGTACAGGGAGCCAATGAGAAACGCCCCTGGCAAGTGTGACGTCACGAGTGGAGATAGGTCCGGGCCGTGCGCCTCCCTGGCACCAGGAGTTAGATACGACACGTCGTCAAGGGCGGACGTGCGATAGGGGGGTCCTGTCAGTCTGACAGTATTCGCCCCTCTCCGGTGAATATGCGCATCACCAGTGGTCTGCGAGCATCCTGTGAGGTCTTCCTGAACTCCATGAGGCAGACAGAAGAAGGAATTGATGGGAAATGAGCAACAAGTGCTCCAGTGACAGGTGCTTAGCAAGAGTGAAGCCTGGGCAGTGACGTCAGGGACGACTGTACAGTTTCACCAGTCGGGTGATGACGTAGCGGCTGGGCCAGTTCACCGTGAGGAAGAAGAACAACAAACTAGCCGGGAATACGAACGACTGCAGTCGGGAGTAAGGACTGCTGACGTAGTTGTGAGGAGGAGGCGACGGTCAGGAGACTGACTCCAACCCTTCAAGAGGTTGTGGAGGAGCACGGAGCCTGCAGAGAGAAGCAATATGGAGAAGACGCGCTTTTTGGGTGTTGGTTGAGGTCCTGAGAAGAGCATCAGTGTGTGTGGGGTGTTCCCTACAGCAAGTCGTGAGCCGGGACCAGGAGCTCCAATCCAACCCTCAACAGAGGACGAGTCCACATCATTTATGGTGGAAATAGGTAATTCAGTTTTCCCTCCCATTCCCCTTTAGTTAACGATTAGACAGAGTATCTTCTATGTCGTGAGCAGGGCTCACCAATGTCTATGTTTCCAGTAAGACACAGTTGTGAAGGAAGATGCTATAGAGCTCTCATGAGATATATATATGGTGTTGGAAATTTCCAACACCGAATACAACACTGTTGTATTCTCATTAATTATTACTAATTCTACTAATCATTGTAGTAAGTAAAATTAACACAACGTAGAATTCACATGTACTAATAATTTCATCTGTGCAATAGGTTAGAATTCTCACGTCACCCGACGCCAGTATTGCATCAGATTTCATTACTATAAACACATTATATCCAATGTATCTGAGAATTGAATTCGATTCTCAATAACCAAGGTGTTCTGTGTAATAATTAATTACAGATAAATTGACCTCCAACTAAAGCCGAATAGAGCGTTAGAGTCATAGCAGTTATCTAGTAATAAAAATTAACGTCACAAGTGAATGCCATGGAGAGACAATAATTCCTCCCCATTATATGTTTACTATCACTGAACTGGCAAATAATAATATTTAACTCTTCTAAATAATAAACCCGTCCTGTCTCGAACATTTCAAGCACAACTGCGAGAAATACTAATATTCATGATAATAACTTGTCTAATGAACGCGAGACGCGGAGCGGGAAAGGAGAGCAACCCAGTACACGTGTTGAGAAGCTCTCGAGCGGACCTGTTCGCGTCGTGCTCACGAGGAGACGCCATTACCCAGTCATCAGGGTAAACGCTATCCATCCTCCAGATGAAAGTCGCCACTGTGAGGCGTGAAAGGCCTTGCAGACCATATCTTCGACTGGTGTCAGTGTAATATAAGGAACTTATCAAATCTGGTTCTTTGTGATTCCACGTGACTGGCCAGTGAAGCGCGCCATTATCCAGGATAGGTGAAGCCAGAGCCTGGGACGCAAATTTCGGCAATCTTAAAACTTATACAGTGCCCATATTAGCTAAGTATCTTATCCTCATTTGATGCATCTGATAGGGTGTAGAATTGTAGCTGGGTGATTTGTCGTGACGACGTATACCAACACCAAACTACAGCACGTGAGAAGAATTCTCCCAGCTGTCCTCTCCCATGTTAATCCATCCCACTCGTCATCCAGCCGAGCTCAGGAGAATCAGAGGAAGCGTCATGATTTACTTTAAGGAATCGTCATTAAGCTAAGATTCCTTTGTATTCCTTTAATTATTATCTGGAATTATTTACATGCAGAACTCTGTTTTTGGATTGACATGTGTTTATTATGATTATCATTATTATATTCATAATCTATGTTCCCATTAATGATAATGACATTGATTTCACAATAATTCATAGGATTAGATTATTATATCTTGGATTAGTGAACGAACCACACTAGTTCCTGGACGTACTGAGTTCCAGTAATAACCCCCCAATGTAGGTGTTTGAGGGTTTGATTCATTTAATTATACAGCCCATTAATTATTTCTCTAATCATATTCTCTAGTATTTTATCCATAGTTACTGGTTCATCTAGGAATTATCAAATGATCATAATTTCTCAGTTTCCCTCTTTACTATAAAAGCGGGTGGTCCTTCGTAATATAATTTACTACATTAATATTTAAATAATTAGATTCAAGCCCCAAATGTCCCACATTATGGTCCTTCGAACCGGATAGGCATTAAATTTATAATTAAAATATTAATCATTAATAACTAATCCTTGTGTGACATAAGCTAGACTAACTATTTAATTAATTGTGTCAACTAACAGTGTAACACATCAGTTAGTCTAGATCACACTAACATATTGCTACTTTCACCTCATGTATAAGGTAGCTTTAGTGGGTCATAGCCAATTACCCACAACATTTAGACCTACACTTCATACTGAAGTAGAATCTTTAGGTCACCAAGAGCAACAGCTCATAACCTTATATTAATCACTAACACCAATTAAGTGTTAACCATTTAGGCTATACCAATGTTTCAATATATGGCTGTCAGCAGACTGTCCATTATAGCCTGAATCCATGTTATAATTACTGATTCACTCAAGTCGGTGGATCATTAACATTTAGGGATCCAGTATACTAATATAAATTACTGATCTCATATTAGTTAATCATTACTAACCCTGATAACATTTTATTCCACAATTAGGAGTACATTTAGGAGTTTAGTAATATTTACGGCAGTAGAATACTTGCCAAACACAATTAATTCCTTTGTGTTCATTTAATTTCTTATACACATAATTACACAAGTGTATATTATATAAAATCCAAAAAACCCAAAAACACAGCACAATTATTTGCACATTACTGCTGTCGGAAAATCCGACACCATTTAATAATCATACAGATAATAGCTGTATTACCAACAAGTTACCCATAGAAAACGTAACTTGTAGTGGAATTACCGTCTATAGAAAACGGGATATCATCACCACATACTATTATAATTCACCAGCTATTCTGCTGGGAATTATTCTTAAATACATTAGTCTTTGGACTTTACCATCATAAAAACATCTTATATAAATTAACTTAATTATCAATATTAAAGTAGAGTAAATGTGACCCTTCTATCACTTTCTGAAATCTGGACAAAGTAGGCCAGGCGTCAGTGAGGAAGGAGGGAGCCATTGTTGTGTCACCTCCGAGACGTGTGGAGCAAATTCGGCTCCTATCATTCTGGACAATGTCGGCCAGTAACGTCAATAGAATGGAGTGTTAAACAGCCATTGTTTATATTGAGACCAGAGGCTCACACGGGAGCAAATACGGCTCCTGTTAATTTTACTTGGACGTAGTGTTATGGAAACCAAAGGTACCATCTCCAACACGATGTCTACAATTCAAGTTAAGTCTATCCGAAACCCGTTTATCATTCATTTATGGC